AAACTCAAATGGATTCTGATGCTTAGCACAACTGATCTGGCATTCATCAGATTAACAAGATATTTGTTAAAACTGCAGTTGGATATTCCATCATCGAGGAAGCATCTGTGGTGGAAAGGAGTCCTTATTTATATTTTTAGCATGTTTCTGCCAGTTGTCCAAACTGCCTAAAAAGATTTTCCAGTTGGAGTTCATTTTAGCTCAATTTGAATCCAAATATCCTTGTATAACAAAATATATAAGCTTACTCTGCAAGTCCAGCATTGATCTTCCAGTCTACAAATATTCGTTTGGCTACTTTTACTGAAAGTATGTTGTTAACAGATACTTGGCTTACAATTATATGCTGAAACTCATTTTCAGTTTTCTGCATTATAGTGTAAAAACAGTGCCAAATGTTTAGGGGAAATTCACTTGAAATTAGCAAGTTTTATTAAATAAAAATTATGCAGAGTATATTTTGAAATACATATTAATATAATGATATAACCATGTATTTATATAAAATTATGATTTTAAAGTTTATTTTACACTTAGAATATGGATTTAGGATAATGTTTTTATCATTTCTCCAGAAGAATGTAGCTCATGAAACAAGAATGGAAAGAGGGGACTAGTTTCTATGCTAGGGATAGTGTTTGTTTTTCTTCAGATTAAGTAAAAAGTCCATCCTGTTTTAGCTAATCACACTTGAAAAATATACATTTGGATTTTGGTACATACTAGACCATTCATTCATTTTGAATGCTGAATTTTATTTTATTGTGGATTTTATTAAGGTTTTTCAATACAAATGGTCCCTGACTTACCATTTTTGACTTACAATTTTTTGACTTTAAGATGTGTAAAAACAGTATGTATTCAGTAGGAACCATACTTCAAAGTTCAAATTCTGATATTTTCCCAGGCTAGTGATATGTGGTAAAATACGATGCTAGGAAGTTCATAGTCAGCCATGTGATCATGAAGGTTAAAGAAAAATACAAGATATTCAACAATTTATTATAAAATAGGTTTGTGTTAGATGATTTTGCCCAAACGTAAGCTAATGTAAGTGTTTTGAGCACATTTAAGGTTAGCTAGGCTAAGCTAGGATGCTTAGTAGGTTAGTTGTACTAAATACGTTTTCAACTTATAATGTTTTCAATTTATGATGGGTTTATTGGGCAGTAGCCACATTGTAAGTTGAAGAGTATCTGTAACTGATTACTATTTTAGCTTATTGTAAATGATTAATTTAATGATTAGTAATGTGTGTTGTGGTTAAGAGCTTAAGCTTTGAGCCACATGGTAGGATTGAATTCCTGTCCCCACTGTTAGCTTTTATGACTCTGGACAAATTCTTCATCATTATGTTCCTTTGTTATTTCTTCTTCATTATGGAGACACGATGATGATTGTAAATGTATAGAGTTGTTGTGAGGATTAAATGAGATAAAACATATCATATCACTGCTTTGTTAAAATTTATTATTATTATTTTTATTTTTATAGATTTAATTGGTACAAGTGAAGTTTTGTTACCTGGAGGTATTGCGTAGTGATGATGTCTGGGCTTTTAGTACCCACCATCTGAATGGGAACATTGTAGCCACTATGTAATTTTTCAGTCCTTACCCCTCTCCTACCCTTGCAATATATGGAGTCTCCGATGTCTATTTTTCTACTTTGTACGTCCATGTGTTTAGTTAACACCTGTTGTTTAGCTCTCCCACTTACAAGTAAGATCATGCAGTATTTGACTTCCTGTTTATGAGTGATTTCACTTAGGATAATGGCCTCCATCTCGTTTCTCGTTCCCTTCATATTGCTGCAAAAGACATAAAATCATTCTTTTTCGTAGTGGAGTAGTATTCCATGGTACGTATCTTACAGCATTTTCTTTATCCAATCAATTGATGAGTCTTCAGAGAGGCCCTTAGGGTTTTCTAGTCATAAGATAACATCATTAGCAAACAGAAATAATTGAAGTAATTTGACTTCCTTTTTTTCCAATTGAGATGCTTTTTTTTTTTTGAATCAGAGTCTCGCTCTGTCGCCCAGGTTGGAGTGCAGTGGCATGATCTCGGCTCACTGCAACATCCTGAGTAGCTGGAACTACAGGAGTCCGCCAACACACCCGGCTAATTGTTGTTGTTGTTTTTTGTTTGTTTGTTTGTTTGTTTGTTTTCTAGTAGAGACGGGAGTTTCACCATGTTAGCCAGGATGGTCTCGATCTGCTGACCTTGTGATCCACACGCCTCAGCCTCCCAAAGTGCTGGAATTACAGACCTGAGTCACCGTGCCCGGCCTGAATGCCTTTTATTTCTTTCTTTTGCCTGATTGTTCTGGCTAGGAATTCCAATACTATGTTGAATAGAAGTGGTAAAAGTAGGCATCCTTGACTTTTTGTAGTTATTAGGGGGAATGTTTTAGACATTTCCCAGTTCAGTAAGATGTTGGCTGGGGTTTGTTGTCTTATGACCTTTATTATTTTGTGAATGTTTCTTCTGTGCCTAGTTTGTTGAGGGTTTTTATCATGGAGTGATGCTGAATGTCATCAGATGCTTTTTCTGCATCTACTGAGATATCATACAGTTTTGGTTTTAATTCTGTTTATGTGGTGAATCACATTTATTGGTTTGCATATGTTGAGACATCCCCCATCCCCTGGATAAGACCCACTTGATTATGGAGTAGTATCTTTCTGATGTGTTGTTGGATTCAATGTGCTAGTATTTGTTTTGAGAACTTTTGTATCTATGTTTATTAATGGTATTGACCTCTAAACTTTATTGCGTCCTTGCCTAGCTTTGGTATCAGTGTTACACTGGCTTCTTAGAATGAGTAGGTAGTATTTCCTCCTTGATTTTTTTGAAATAGTTTCAGTATATTAGTATCAATTTTTCTTTTTATGACTGGTAGAATTTGCTGTGAATCTGTCTGATCTTGGCTTTTTTTGTTGCTGTTGTTCTTGGGAAAATTTTTATTACTGATACAACTTCACTACTCATATTGGTCTGTTCAGAATTTCTGTTTTTTTCCTGTTTCAGTCTTGAGAGGCTATGCATTTCCAGGAATTTATCCATTTTCTTTATGTTTTCTAGTTCATGTGTGGAGATGCTCATAGTGGTCTCTGATGATCTTTTGTATTTCTATGGTATCACTTGTAATGCCACCTTTATCATGTCTTATCGTGCGTATTTGAATCCTTTCTCATTTTTCTTAATTTAGCTAGTGGTCCACCAATTTCATTAATTTTTTCAAAGACCCAATTTTTTGTTTTGTTGATTTTTAAAATTTTTTGGCTCAATTTTATTTATTTCTTCTCTGAGCTTTGTTATTTCTCTTTTTCTGCTAGCTTTGGGTTTGGTTTGTTCTTGTTCTGTTGTTGTTGTTGTTGTTGTTGTTTTGTTGTTGTTCCTTGGGGTGTAATGTCAGGTTGTTGACTTGAGATCTATCTTTTTGATGTAGGCATTTGATGCTATATAGCCCGCTGCCCGTTAGTTGGTTGTGATAAAGGGGCTGGACTGATCCCGGGTCCCCAGCTGAACACTGGTGGGTCAGCGATGGCTATGTTGTGGGCCAGCCACCAGGAAGGGCAGAACATTCTGTAATGGAAAGGCCAGCAGACAGTTTTGGGAGAGACTGACAGGCATGGGGTGCTTGATCTGAATGCACCAGGTCATGCGTTAGCAGTGGCAAAGCATGAGAACACCCAGCCTCCCCTCTTGCTCCCCGGCCCTGCAGACAGGAAGGGCACCAGTGGTCTCTGGGCAGGACTCAGACCCTTGGGGTATGGGCTCCAAGAATGGCACCTTAGTGCAGCTGCTCAGCACTTGGAAGCCTATGGGATGTCACATGAGTTCTAGCCATTCCTCTGTGTGATATCCAGACACCTCCCTATGCTAGTGTGGAGGCCTGTGGGGCTCCCAGATCTCTCCATACTTAGGATTGCATAGGTCCATGGTAGGAATGTGAAAGCATTGGAAATCCTTCACTTACTCCTTCCCTGGGTCCAGATCCCAGTGACCCCAAGCAGGAAGACCTATTTCTCTTTTCTTCACCCTTAGTGTCTCCCATCATCTCTCTGCTGAATTCCAGTGTTCTCTCGCAGGCAGTCTGTTTGAAATGTGAATATCTACTTGATACTTTGGCTCCTGTCTATAGAAAGACACACCCAAGGTACATTTAATCAACCATCTTGAACCTGTCATCCAATTTCCATTTCCTTTTCTCTTTCAGTTTTGCTTGGCACCATCATAGGTACAAAGTATTTTACATTATTTAACTTGTCCAACAATTTTAAAATTACATTTTTAAACATCGTAATTTGGAAGTTAAATATAAACTTGCCCATAATCATTTTATCAGTTATTAACATCACAGACATGGTAACATAGTTCCATCCAGTATTTTTTTCTTATACAGTATTTTTCAGTATTTTTTTTTTTCCTTTGGAGATGCTAGTAAGAAAAATTTTAAAGCCATATTTTGAGAACCACCAGTAAAGGAGTACCTTCCAGGGAAGTGTATAGGGATTTTGGAGGGCAAAGAGTATGCATATCATTTGAAAGTAATTATGTTATGTAAATCCATATGGAAAGATAAAATAACTCATAAAAATGAAGGATTATTCACCCAGAGATAATACTGTTTAGTTTTTACCAGGTCAAGAAGTTTGACCTGAGGCTACTGGTTGTTTTATAATTTATTCAGAAACTATGCATACATCCATGCATCTAAAATATACATCTAAAACCTACATTAAAACTACTACATTTATTTTGTTATAAGAATAATTAGTGTTTTCAAATTAGTTTTCCTCAAAGAGTTAAGTCTTAACTGGGACAACTAGTCCCTTAACTAGTCCTAAGCCTGGGATAGGCTTCTCAAATCTGATGATATAGGTATTTAATTAGATAAATAAATATTTAAAACATGGCATCTTTATGCAAACACTTTCTAAAAATCATACTCTTTTATAAGATTACATAATTTTTTTAAAAATATCTTTTTAGGTATGCCTTGAATGTGGAGAAGATTATTGTTCAGGATGCTTTGCTAAAATTCACCAGAAAGGGGCACTAAAGCTCCACAGAACAACTCTTTTGCAGGTATGGCTTTCTAAAATGATTTACATGTAATGTGTTTATAAAATGTTTTCACATAAAGACATTTAAAATGTGTTTAGTTATGTAGACCTCAGGATGATTTACACTAATTTCTAAAATTCTATTATATACAGACAATCCTGAGGTATATCTTAAAATTGTTTTATTGAACACTAATCTAGACTCTATTTTACTATTTAAACTGTTTTAATGTAGTTGCAGAAACAGCTTAGAGTCTTCAGATTATGTATTCTGACTGTGAACTTGACACTTAAAAATTAGACAATATTTTTATCGTGTTTTTAAATGAACGCATAGGCTATTTTAAGTATTATTTCTATGGTTTTTAGATATAAATCTCTTATGTTTTCAAGTTTATTTAAAAATTAGTTCTTATTTACCTTGCCCATTATTATTTAGGAAAGCTTATCTCTCAGGTTTCTATTTTTCCTTCTGTACATATAAGGACCTTTTATTTATCCTTATATGATCATTGATTTTGGAAATGCCTAAACTCAAACTCTGTCAAGTGGCTTTAAGATTCTAATACTTAAACTACAAATACGGTTAGATACAGACATGGCATTACACTAATTACAGTTAATGATGCATTGCTTTGTCATAGATTTTATTCATTTTATAGTAATTTATTCAACAAATATTTATTGAGTGCTTCCTAGAAGGCAGGGTGTGTGCTAGGCAGTGACCTTACAGAGATGAGTAATGGTAGGATCCTACTGTTAATTAGTTAAGGGTTTTAATATTATCTGTAGGCAAAGGAATGGAGATAATCAGATCTGTGTTTAGAAAGATTACTGGTGAATTTCAATCTTTACATTTACCTCAACATACTGATAAATATCAGTAACCATCAAGGGTGCTGATGACCCAAATAATGATAACCACAGAACATAAAACATACCTAACTAATATTCACCAAAGTCAGTGACTTTTGAGTGACCACTCAATGTTTAGAGCTTCTGGGCAGAAAGGATGAAGGGAAAAAAAAAACAAAAGCCAACCTGATACTTGCCTCTCTCATGGTATTACAATCAGATAGTCATAAGAAATGAAAATTAATTGATATAGAAGTGAGTCTAATTGTTAATATATGAATAATATCGAATTTAACTAAAGACATTCTACTTTGAAGATAAATACTGTAATATCATTACCACAGACGAGTTCATATTAGGAATTTTTCATTCAATGATTTATTCAGCACATTTTCTGAGTTATCACTCAGTGACTTTAAGCCCTATGCTAGCTGATATAAGAGATACAAAGAAGAATGAGACATGGCTCCTTTCCTTCAGTATCTGAGCTTCAAGATTTATCCAAGTTTGATTTTCTTCTTCTTGCTCTCTCTCCCTCCCTGTCTTCTCCTCTCCCTCCTACATAATTTCAAAGGGTAGACTTTGCCATAATATGGCTTATTGTGATCCAGATGCAGGTATGACACCACTTGAGATCATAATTACTAAAAGTAACATGACATACAATATGCTTTATAAACATTGAGCATTATTTTGTTTTATGCTAATGTTTTTAAAGTGTATGTATCCTGTATCTTAACAGAAGAAAGTGATCATTGCAGGTTGGAAATTTATCAAATTCCAAAGGTAGACTGGATTAAATTAGTGAGAAAGTATCTACCAAATATATACTTCATTATATATATACATATATAATGTATATATCATATATACAATGTATGTATAATATATCTATATATAATATATACAATTATATATAATGTTTACTTTTTTTGTACAAATTCCTTCAGTTTACATAGTTCTTTTGCACAGAACATTTATGGCAATCTACATACTCCTTCTGCTCCCTTTCCATCTTTATTGAGTCATAATTGACAAGAAAAAATGTGTACAACTAAGGTGCATAATTTGATATTTTGACATATATATATATACACATTTTGAAATAATCTCCAAATTGAATGTTTCTATCACTTCACATTACATCACCCTTTCTTCCTTTCTTTCTTTCATTTTCTTCTTTCTTTCTTCTTTTCTTTCTTTCTTCTTTCTTTCTTTCTTTTTCTTTTTCTTTTCTTCTTTCTTTCTTTCTTTTTCTTCTTCTTCTCTTTTTCTTTTTCTCTTTTCTCTCTTTTTTCTCTCTATTTCTCTTCCTTCGTTTTCTCTCTCTCTTTCCTTCTTTTCTCTCTTTCTCTCTTTTTCTTCTTTCATGGTAAGAAATTTAAAGATACTGCCAGCATTACATTCTTTTGGTTTTGATAGCAGAGGAGGGGAAGTTGCTAAGCCACAAATAGGTAAAATGATATTTAAGTTCTTGATAAATAAAATAAGTTAAGTTCCTAATAACATGAAAATTAATGAAGTTCCTATAAAAATAAAAGGTATTTTTTTAAAAAAATGTAATGTAATCTTATAAAGAGTATGTTTTAGAAAGTGTTGCTGGCATAAATGATATCATGTTTTAAAATATTTAGTTTCTCTAATATATACCCTGCTTATCATTTATTAAGCTCTAATAAATGAGTTTAGAATACTCATTTATCTCTAAAAGTTAGCATACATGGATTCCATAATATGTACACAAATCAAAGAGTTTGGCAAGGAACCATGAGTCTTTGAAAGGTTTCTTCAAATATTGCGATTCTTTTATGTATATAAATTTAAAGTTAAATACAATAAAGAACCATGTCTCTTCCTTGTTTATGTTACTACTTTATGTTTCCACACCATCTGTGGAGAGCAAAGTTGCTACTTGGTGCTTTTGTTGGGGAGAGTCCTGGAAAGTGTATTGTCTACCAGGGAAGTGGAATTGTGAGGTTGGCACTTAGCAAAGAGCATACACAGACCTCCTGTGCTGGGAGCTAAACCTATAATGATGTTATTCTCTTTTTTATAACATTATTTCACCTAACGGAATTGCTAAGGAGTAAAGTACTTTGAAGGAGACAGCTTTTTGGTTCAGCTAATTCTTAAAGCAAATTTGTCCTTTTATTCATAAAACAAAAATTTTAAATTAAAACTTTTTTTTTAAATTTAAATTTTGCATGTATGTGATTTCATATAATATTTTTCTTTCTGTGTCTGGCTTATTTCATTTACCGTAATGTCCTCCAGGTTTATCTATGTTGTCAAAAATAACAATATCTTCTTTTTAAAAGGTGAATAATATTCCATTTTTTTGTATATAGGTGCAAACAACTGTGTGAGGTAGTGGATATGTTAATATGCTCCATGGTAGTTATCATTTTACATGTATACTTATGTCATGTGCATGTACATGCATATCAAAACATCATGTTGCACATTTTTGTGTACTTTAAATATACACAATAATAAATAAATTAGATAGATGATTTTTGAAAGAAACAATTTCAAATTGTACTACATACTCCCTCCTATAAATAGAACACAGTGAACGGTTTCACTATATGTGAGTGTCTCATGCCCATTATAATAGCCACCTTTATTATAAGAAATAAAATAAGAAAGAGGTCTCAAATAGCTGATATAGTGTTTATGATGATATATTCCCCATCAGAAATTCACTGTTCTGCTTAGTACTTAATTTTTCTCCTTTATTCTGGTCTTGCCCATTCTCTGTCATCATTTCTTGACTTTAATCAATTGTCTTGTAGCTATCTGCTATTTTCTTTCTATCTCGATTCTCTGTTTAATCTTTCACTTCTTTTTTCAGTCAACATGCTTTTTTCTCTTGTTGTTTTTATCATTTTCCTATGCATTTAGTTTTTGTTGTTGTTATTGTTGTGCTTTGGCTTTGATGGCCATTTGGTCAAATATCTCTTTTTGTTTAGCTCCCATTAACCAATCATGTAGTGGTTTTAGTTTTTTATTGTTTTGTTAACCATTAAAGTCATGAGGCTTTGTTGACTGCTGAATTCATTCCTAATTTGAGAAGTTAGGGAAGACATCTGATAGATGAATATTAAGCATTGCTATATAAGAAGCAAGTATTCTAAGCTAACAGTGATTACACTTTATATTCTTTAACCTATGCTGTCATTTGTGCTTAATATAAAGTGTAGCCAAATTTGATAGTTGTAAACTATTTCAGTCTTTATCCAACAGCCCAGTAGGTCCTGTGAGTTTAGTCAGTAGGGATCATTTTGTACCAGCGTGTCTTGTTTTACTTAAGATCCCTGAAAAATTGAAGGCAAATATTTACATGTTGACTAGTATTGTAATTTCAAAGGGCCTTTCCTTTGATTTATGATTGATTTGTACTTGGCAGTGATTCAAAACACTTCAAGTTTCTTTGCCTTTTCCAACCTCTGTTAAATATTTAATTAACTGAAAAATGAAGCATAAATGCATGAGAGGGAATTACTAAGAATTTAAATTTTACTTCTACATGTAGAAAGATTGTTAACACTAAGGGTTGAAACAAAAGTTATTTTCAAATGAGAAACGAGGTCTTAATACATCAGGCATTCCTATTTCCTTTTAACAATTTAAGATCAGACAGAAGAAACAATGTTAATCAGAGAGAATAGAAGATGAGGGAACACAAACAAAAGGCATTCTATTTGTGAAGTATGACATGCACAAGGGGGGTTAGATTAAGTAAATCATTAATAGATTATGGTAAATATGTTTTCTTAATTGGAATGAAAAGTTTCTTAACTGAAAAGGAGAAACCTTGGGAAGGTGGGTAGTATTAATGAAAGAAAAAATAATTAAGGTAGAATTTCCATGCAGTTTTGGTTACTGTAACCTTGTAGTGCAGCTTGAAGTCAGATAGCATGATGCCTCCAGCTTTGTTCTTTTTGCTTAGGATTGTCTTGGCTATATGGGCTCTTTCTTGCTTCCACATGAAATTTAAAGTAGTTTTTTCTAGTTCTGGTTAGAAAGTCAATGGTAGCTTGATGGGAGACCACAGAAGGGGCAGAGTTGAGAACACACAGTTCCTTCTCTCAGAGTTACCAACAAGATTGAAATATGTGGATGACAAGTAAATGTTCTCTCAAAAAGGAATTATCATAAAGTCAC